TTGGAGCCAGATTTCAGTGTACCCCAACCAGATACTGCTGCGGGGGCGCCAGTGCCGGGTGTGGTGATAGCCAAGCCAATTGACTTAGTGGTAGAGCTGAAGGACAGAGATGAGGCTAGCCTGATGATGGCAATATCGTTGGAGTAAGTTGATGGAGAGTAGCCYTCGTGATTTTTGAAAGCAAGGACAGAGATGGTAACACCACCAGAGTTCCAGTAGGAAGAACCGGCACGAACTCTCAAAATCGAAGCGCTAACCGATTGCAAGCAGTGAGCGGCTGTCACAATAATTTTGCTGCTATAGATAGAGCCACCGCATGAGTGGGAACCGGAACGTTGGAGCGATACCTGCCATGGGAATGAACTGATGGTGGTTGGAGTACCGCCAACAATACGTCCACTCAAATCGTCGCTAAGGCTGACCATACCTTCGGGTATGGTGCGAGCGAAGGCGCAAGCCACAAAAGACAAAACTACCACGAATTTCAACATTGCTCCTTTACAGATAGTTGCAAACAACTGCTGCTGACCAAAGTGGTGAGCTTATTTATACCTAGCACAATATTTACTCGGAGTATAAGCCTTATCAATAATCAAAGAATATTGGTGTATGACGTCCATTTTTACCAAAATTTGTCGTTTTCAAGTGTGCTCATCCGTGTGAAGATAAGTCCATAAGTCTAATAAGTCCATTATCAAGTTTACTAAGACCAAAAGTAAATGCTGGGAAAATATTTCTTTTATTTACGTTTTATAAAGTATATTTTGCTTTCTTCGTTATATCATTTGCTAAGTTGGCAAGCTTAATAAAACCTCTTACATAAATTGCAATATTTTCTTTACTCCAACTTTGGGCCTGAAAACTAAGAAACTCTGTCATTAATAAAGTTCTGTTATACAATTTTTTATATAACGTTAGCATACATATTAGAATAGTGAAGAAGTTGCCCATTGGGCATTCCTTAGATGGTTTACGTGGCTTGTCAGCAAGGTTTAAATAACCTTTCGAATAAAAATCTATTAATTGTTGTAAAGTATTTTCATGTCTACGCTTTGTTGATCGGAAACTATGAACAAGCATACAGATAGCTAGCTCGAAACATAGGAAAAAATTTAGACAAACTCTTGTAAAGGTCTAGRGCTTGAGTGATTCTAAAGCCTTAACTTTTGATAGTGAAGATTGTGCTCTGTCAAGACGATAAGATCGAAAAAATTACAGAAACAGTACTTGAAACTCGTTCTGTTGGTATCAAAAAGAAAGCAGCGGATATCAATATCTGTCACGGATCGACTCAACACATTTTGTTCAATGTTTTGGGCACGATGTCGACGACGTTTATTAATAAACGAGCTGAAACCGCAAAAACGAGTATATACTCGTACATATATGGTAATTTAATTTAAAAATTTGCGAATCATTTCTTATCTGGTCTTCGTTCATACTTTTGTATATATTGAAGATTTATAGATACGAATTAATTATATTAAATATATGATGAACCCTAAAATGCAATCAACCATTCAATTACTACTTTGCAACTAATATAAATCAGAAACACCGCTAGTCCGTCACTGGTTTCTTGATTAGTTGATGTCATATGTGATGCCAATAGTTAGACTTCAGTCAGAAATTGAACTCATACTTAAATATGTTCATATAAGAATGATATATGATTTTCGACTCTTTCGTTGCTTTACTGCTGGGTACATAAATAAGTATGCCCATATAAGAGTACCGATATGCATGCAAATAAATGCTATCTTATAATATCAGCCACGAAATGAGAACGAGCTGTAATCTTCTACACAAATATCACGTATTTAAGGCAGAAATTACTTTCAATCAACAGTGAAAGACTGCATCATAACAAAATGTGATTATTAATTGATTCTCTTTGGAGAAGTCTTGACAGAATTGAATAAGTTTGATTCTAGTTAAAAGAGTAAGGAAGTGATGAATTCAGCCGCAACCTGGTATTACACACTCTCCGAAATAAATACAAGCTTTAGAAGTATTTTGAAATGTTTTCGAAAGGCAAAAGTGGATCTCGGTACATTGATTTCACTAGAGACAAGGGATATGTAAAAATTTAAGTAYTGATGATATTATAATATCATATTGTAGCGTTCACCTCTGTCAATTAAAAACTTTCTTCAAAGGTCACCTGAGCGGCTTATGCGTATACTCGTATAGTATTAGCGGATTTGTGCAGTATGAGACAAGATATCTGCACGCCATAGGGCATGGGTTAATGCAATCTTCGAAGAAATTGTTTGGATTCTAATAATATCACATTGCGGTGTGAGAGCGTCAAATCACATCGCGGTGCTAGCGTCATCTAAGCACTGGCTAGCTATGGTGCCTGCTTTTCTTTTATAGAGCCAGCTAACAGCCAGCTTTCCGCGAGATAACATTATGACTGTTAAATCACATCACAGCGCGGCGTGAGAGTCACCTAAGCACTGACCAGCCGCCGTGAATGTTTTTCTTTTATAGAGTCAGCTAACAGCCTGCTTCCCGCGAGATTACATTATGACTGTTAACTCACATCACATCGCGGTGCTAGCGTCACGTAAGCACTGGCTAGCTATGGTTCTTGCTTTTATAGAGCCAGCTAACAGACAAGACTACATTATGACTGTTAAGCCACASTCACGAATCCCAAGCCACAGCAATTTTCTGTCCGTGGTATGGATAAATAAAAAGTCGGTAACAATAATAAATTTTTATATGTGTACAAAACGCACAACAACCCTTCGATTTTTAATATTGTATTAAGTTATAATCGCTGCTATTATTATACATTTTTTTTATTTAACATTTTATTATGTTATTAAACTGTGAGGCATTACAATACAGCTAAGACACAAATATCTACCTAAGAGAACTTAAATAGTTAGCAGTGTTTTCTATCCATACGCGCAGGGAAGCCACATCTGAGTATACCCCCGGATAGTTGGGGTAAGCGCAACCGAAACCCCACGATACAACACCGACCAGCACGCCACCCGCAACCATTGGACCACCAGAATCTCCTTGACATGCATCTTTGCCCACGGCATAAGCACATATCATAGTTTCTAAAATATTTTGACTACCATAGCCATAAATATTCGAGGCACACTTTTCCAAACTGACAACTTCCAAATTCACATACTGTAATTGCGTGGGCGACGTCTGTGAACCAGAAAGTTTAGTACCCCAACCGGATACAACCGCTACGACATCATCAGCTGGYGCTGTTTCAGCCAAAGCAATTGGTTTTATGGTCGAGCTAAACGTTAGTGAACTGGCTAAACGTATTAAAGCAATATCGTAGGCCATGTCATTCGAGCCGTACAGTTCGTGTACCCTGAATGCGGTAATCTCAGAAAGTTTACCGCCAGAATTCCAGAAGGATGAACCGGCGCGTACCCTCAGTGTAGTAAGTGATGGGTTATCAGAAAGGCAATGTGCAGCCGTCACAATGATGTTTTCGCTGTAAACGGAGCCACCACATGAATGTGAGCCGGAGCGCTGTAAAGATATTTGCCATGGGAAAGAGCTGATTGTGGTCGCAGCACCGCCGACAATACGTCCATCCAAAAGTGGTTGCAGCCCTTGAGGGTTGGGGGCGGCTAACGCGCAGGCAAATACCGATAATAGAATAACGATCTTCAACATTTTGGAATGTTTGTGGTGAATATAAGTAGATGGGATT